AACCAACGATGGCCACTGCGGGAAAACACGTAAGGAAAACTAGTTCTTCACATACAAATCCCTTTTTACCCTCACATCATTTTCCGTGGTGCATACACACATACAAAGGATACCCGCTGTCCCATCCACCACCCATCCAGGGCGCAATATCTTCCCCCCCCCCCCCCCTCACTTTCTTTAGAACACAAAGGGCTTGCCCCCCTGATCAATATACCCACACCACCTTTCGGGACGTGCAGATGGCAGAGTCATGACCTGAAACCCCTCCCCTCGAGCACTCTTCCCTCCTTGAAATTTGTGTTCTTGCAGGAACACTACATCCACCTATATTTATACGAAACTTTCGAAAACCATTCTTCTTCACACTATTACACAGTCCATTTACGTTCACAGTCATACACCTAAGGCCTCTTTATAGTTTCCCAAACCCCTTCCTCCTCTCTTCATTCATCCCAGGGCCTCCTGCCCCAGAGCCAGCACAAGGCTTCACACCATCAACCCTCCCCCTTTTTTGCGATGCCTCTTATCGTGACTGTTTCGACATTGCTCTTCCTTCCCCCCGACCTCTGCGCGCGTCAGGACATCATCTGAGTCTGCGCCGCCGCTCTCTTCCTCGTGATCCCCCTCCATTCCATGTTATCTTCAGAGGTTCCCTCACGATGAACCTACCTCCCCCACGCCCCGTACCACAGCACACGGCGACAACTCTCTCTTTACTGTTGGCCCTTTCAACCCTGCTATGTTTTTTATCCTTACATTCCTTACAAGGCCCGCCGTGTCTCTCACCAGCTCAGGAACAACGTCCACGCAGGCGGTGTCAATGTCCTTAACACTTCCTGAAGCTCTTCCTCTAGAGCCTGCACCTCCTCCTGCACTTGCACTTCTGTACTTTTCCTGGGGGAGTAGTAACAGATCCTTTTACTCACAGTTACCTCACACATGCCCTTCCCTCTTTGGAATCCTCCACCTCTTCACTCCACAAGCGCCCAGGCCCTTGCTTGCGCACTGGGCTCTCAACAGCTATCACGCTGGTAAAATGGTGCTTCACCAGTTTGCGCTGGCGCCCTCCTCAGCTTCACCCGCACTCTGCCGCCATATGGTCGTTACGCCCCACATATTCTGCACGTACGTCTCTGTCCGGCATACGATACCAAACTTGCGTCCCGAAGTCCTCCAACACGACGTAAGACGGTATGGGATGTCTCAGAGTCATCTTCAGGGAAAAGGTACCCTCCGGACGTCCCATGTAAGCACCTGCCGTCCACTTGCCCTTTTGTGCCCGATGTACGGTTCCATATGTCTCAAAAACACACCTTATGTCAGCCTCATCTGCCTCAAAGGGACAAATTTCGTATCTTAACCCACGTTTAAAATGGCGAGATTTGTCGATCAAACGCCCCTTCACAGCTGGAGTAAACGTCAAGACTCACGTCTTGGAACCTCGTCACCAAAGGACTCATACACGGACGTGGAATTCGTTTGACGAAGATTCTATAAGCCCCATTCAGGGCTACACCATACACCTCATCGTCCTGGATTCCATAGGTCTCCTAATGATTGTTTTGGGAGTAAGACTTGCACTGAAGAGGGTGAAATCGCCCCACGAAGCAGCTCAATACCTATGGTATTTACGCGCCTCCTCACACTCAGGCCTGTTGATACAAGGTAAACTCGCCTGAACAGCAGAGGGGTGCAGCGCACAACCTCACTCGACCATGGTCAGGCAGCGAATGTTGATCTGATCAGTGGGTCACTTATTTAAAAACATATGGTCGGTGATTTGAGCTAACACATGAAGGATCTACTGGAAATTATCTTACCCGGTAATATGTGATTTGATTGATACAAAAGTATAACTTGCGTGTTGAAGAGCCGGTGACTGCGGGGGGGGGGGGGGCACTCCTACATTGACGAACGGTCGACCCTCCACCTTTGTTTATCAATCGCTGTATCTAGCTTCTCTATTTTTTTTTTTTTTTCCGTCTCCCCCACAATAATGCTATATTATCACTTAGTTGACTGGTGCAAATTTTGGAGGAAGGGCGCTTTTTCTGTGTATAATTGCTTCTCGTTGTGTATATTGCGAGCGCTGGTAACTACAGGTTATATGAAATTCACAGTAACGTCTGGTATTTCAAGAAAAAAGAAACTAATGAAAGTCACTCCACTTCACTAAGTACCATTATAATACTGGTTAGTTGCTACTACAACACTGTATTCTGCTAAATTTATGGTATCACTAGATTATATGCGAGTACACTAGCAGGCCAGGAAGATTATTAAAAACAGCTGACCTGTATACAAGTAATGTACAAGATATACCAGTACATGTACAAGGTATACAAGTACATGTACAAGATATACCAGTACATGTACAAGGTATACAAGTACATGTACAAGGTATACAAGTACATGTACAAGGTATACAAGTACATGTACAAGGTATACAAGTACATGTACAAGGTATACAAGTACATGTACAAGGTATACAAGTACATGTACAAGGTATACAAGTACATGTACAAGATATACCAGTACTGAAACAAGGTTATACAAGTCATGTACAAGATATACCAGTACATGTACAAGGTATACAAGTACATGTACAAGATATACCAGTACATGTACAAGGTATACAAGTACATGTACAAGATATACCAGTACATGTCAAGGTTCCCAAGTACATGTACAAGATATACCAGTACTGTACAAGGTTTTACAAGTACATGTACAAGATATACCAGTACATGTACAAGGTATACAAGTACATGTACAAGGTATACAGATCATAGCTGACATCAATGACATACTACTATACAGAAAGTCGCTTGTTGGGCAGAGCATTTCCCACAAATGAAATACATGAAACTCAATTTTGAACCAACTAATTAACCAGGTAACAAGGCAGTCGCCAATACACACAGTTATCTAAACTATCGTGAATATGCGATGGAACAAACAACCCCAGTCTTCCCCTGGTCGAGGTGGACGAGTGACGTGGATTTGCTATCATGTCTTGGATTATATTCTGGAGAACCATACTTGCTCTCTCTGTAAGTGTCTTGTGGCTTCCATACAGGAAATGTCTCGCTGTTTAAAGAATATGTGGGTTTAGTATTGATTATAGAATATGTAGGTAGTTGTAAGTAAGACCGCTTTACTGGAATGGGTAATTTTATTAAATAATTAAGTATTAACTGGGTTCATGCAAAAGAACTTGTTGATTTGAAAGAAATATTTTGGTAAGTGTATTTACAGACTTGTCGAAGAATATGAGCTAAATACAAATGGGGTTTCAATTTTAATGCAAGAACAGTCCCTTCATCATCTCAAGTTAAGTTAAATTTATGCGGGAAAGGGGAAGGAAGTGAGGGAGGGTCTTTAGCCCCTTTGACATTAGCTAATCATACGGGGAAATTTAAATACGGACATTTCCCTTGACCTTAAAAAACCCCCTTTTATTTTTAAAAGTTTTCCTGGTCGATTGCTAAATTTCCCCCAGGCCATGTCGTTTCCTCCAGTTTTAACTAAGTTTGCCCCCCGCTCCTCAGCTTTCACTTTTTTTGCATCTTTTTCCCTTTTTATTTACTAGTTAAATATTTTTTTTTACGTTAAAAACCCCACCAAATTTTTTCCTTTTCCCTTCCTGCCATTCCTCGGGAAGGAAAAAAAAAAATAACTATTCTTTTTAAAAATTTAACTTCATTTGGCCGGGTGGCCTGGGGGGTAAAGCTCCGCCACACACGGGGGCCCCGGGTTCGTTTCCCGGGGGGGAAACATTTCGACACGTTTCCTTAAAACCTTTGTCCTGTTACTAGCAGCAAATAGGTACCGGGGTGTTGCGATGGTGTGGGTGGTCCGGGGGACAATTTTAAGGACCACAATGGAAATAAGTTAGACAGTCCCCGATGAGCACTGACTTTCTTGGGGTTTCCCGGGTGGTAACCCTCCGGTTAAAAAAACCGAACGAATTTCTTATCTCCTGGGTTACAGCCCTTCACCTAATAATCCTGTATATTTAATTAGGTAGGCAATGCGTTGGGCCAACCCCGTTACTAACTTAATAATTCTACCTGATTTAAGAGTAAGAACGTACCCGGGAATTTTTTTGGTATGGTGGTATCAAGTATTGGGAGAACTTTAGTAGATTGAGGCCCTTTATTAAAAACCCATCACAACAAATTGATTTTAGCCCCAATAAATAACTAAGTTGATGACAATCTAATAGCGCGAAATCGTGTAGTAATGGGTTGGATTTGAGGACTTGGTACAATCCAGTTAGGCCTCCAAAATATCTAAATGCTTAAAAAAAAAAAAAAATAGCATGTCTGAAATAGACCATGTGAAAACATCTGGGTATCTTCGTTTTAGAAGTTTCGCCATCAGTGGCTTTATCAATAGAGATTCTTGGACATAATTTGAAGACAGTGAACTGGGATTTGTACTGAGTCACTGGGATGGCGAGAAGTCTAAAATAGATACCCAGATATAGTGCGCCTTAATTTAATCTTAAATAACAAAAAAAAGGCACAATACCGTGACTGGAACGATACACAAATAACCCGCCAATAAAGGAGAAGCTTACGACGACGTTTCGCCCCGACTTGTACCATTTACAAAGTCATGTTGTGACTTTGTAAATGGTGAAAGTCGGGCCGAAACGTCATCGTAAGCTTCTCCTTTATGTGCGGGTTATTTGTGTATTTAATTTAATCTTGTCTGTATTATATACCATTCCTGTACATGGAATAGCTGCCTGACTTTTGGTAAGTTATTGCTGACGGCAATTATAGTAGCCTCTACGTTTTGGTCATAAGGTCTTCCCGAGTAACCTGACCTCTTCGACCTTCAAAACGCTGACCGTTCACCATACTTCATTGGACACTTTCCTGTCATGGCTACAGAAATCTTTGCTCCTCTTTGTTCTGCACATTTTATCTCCCACATGGTAATATGTACACAATAAACGTTTAAGCTTATAATACTGGCGTAACATTTACATATACTTATGGTAATCAAAGTTTGAAGAAACTAGTGACCTTAGCTATGTGAAATTATCACACTGGCCGATTCCCACCAAGGCAGGGTGGCCCGAAAAAGAAAAACTTCCACCATCATTCACTCCATCACTGTCTTGCCAGAAGGGTGCTTTACACTACAGTTTTTAAACTGCAACATTAACACCCCTCTACCTAAAGTTTTCAACGTCACAGCTTCATTAAAAACTTGCACCAGTTGTCATTAATCTTCGAAGGGTGATTAATGATAGTTGCTTCCATGTTCTCTTGTGCACCTCGTCCAGTTTAGTTTATTGTAACTATTTTCAAAGCGGCAAATAGCCCAACCCTTCAATTCAAGTTTATTTTCTATAAGGGTTACAATGTGGGGTTTACATGTTATAAAATACTAATTACAGAGGGGGGCCACTAGGACACCTAGCATGGCTAGGCTTTACAGAGGGGGGCCACTAGGACACCTAGCATACCTGGAGAGAGTTTCGGGGGTCAACGCCCCCGCGGCCCGGTCTGTGACCAGGCCTCCTGGTAGATCAGCGCCTGATCAACCAGGCTGTTGCTGCTGGCTGCACGCAAACCAACGTACGAGCCACAGCCCGGCTGATCAGGAACTGACTTTAGGTGCTTGTCCAGTGCCAGCTTGAAGACTGCCAGGGGTCTGTTGGTAATCCCCCTTATGTGTGCTGGGAGGCAGTTGAACAGTCTCGGGCCCCTGACACTTATTGTATGGTCTCTTAACGTGCTAGTGACACCCCTGCTTTTCATTGGGGGGATGGTGCATCGTCTGCCAAGTCTTTTGCTTTCGTAGTGAGTGATTTTCGTGTGCAAGTTCGGTACTAGTCCCTCTAGGATTTTCCAGGTGTATATAATCATGTATCTCTCCCTCCTGCGTTCCAGGGAATACAGGTTTAGAAACCTCAAGCGCTCCCAGTAATTGGTGTTTTATCTCCGTTATGCGCGCCGTGAAAGTTCTCTGTACATTTTCTAGGTCGGCATTTCACCTGCCTTGAAAGGTGCTGTTAGAGTGCAGCAATATTCCAGCCTAGATAGAACAAGTGACCTGAAGAGTGTCATCATGGGCTTGGCCTCCCTAGTTTTGAAGGTTCTCATTATCCATCCTGTCATTTTTCTAGCAGATGCGATTGATACAATGTTATGGTCCTTGAAGGTGAGATCCTCGACATAATCACTCCCAGGTCTTTGACGTTGGTGTTTCGCATGGCTAGGCTTTACAGAGGGGGGGGGGCACTAGGACACCTAGCATGGCTAGGCTTTACAGAGGGGGGGCCACTAGGACACCTAGCATGGCTAGGCTTTACAGAGGGGGGGCCACTAGGACACCTAGCATGGCTAGGCTTTACAGGGGGGGGCCACTAGGACACCTAGCATGGCTAGGCTTTACAGGGGGGGGGGCCACTAGGACACCTAGCATGGCTAGGCTTTACAGGGGGGGGCCACTAGGACACCTAGCATGGCTAGGCTTTACAGAGGGGGGGGCCACTAGGACACCTAGCATGGCTAGGCTTTACAGAGGGGGGGCCACTAGGACACTTAGCATGGCTAGGCTTTACAGAGGGGGGGCCACTAGGACACCTAGCATGGCTAGGCTTTTACAGAGGGGGGGCCACTAGGACACCTAGCATGGCTAGGCTTTACAGAGGGGGGGCCACTAGGACACCTAGCATGGCTAGGCTTTACAGAGGGGGGGCCTAGGACACCTAGCATGGCTAGGCTTTACAGAGGGGGGGCCACTAGGACACCTAGCATGGCTAGGCTTTACAGAGGGGGGGCCACTAGGACACCTAGCATGGCTAGGCTTTACAGAGGGGGGCCACTAGGACACCTAGCATGGCTAGGCATTTCAGGCAGACTTTAATTAATTCTCAACATTAAATCCTTACAGATTATGGTATTAAGGCTGTGACTACATCATAATTTGTGAGTTTAGCAATGTGAATGCTTTTGTTTTGGCACAATACAAAGTGTGTATATTTGAGTATCATAGGCAAACTTATGACTAGTTAGGATTTATTATTTTAAGATTAGTATTTCTGGGTTTATAGTCAGTGGGTGAGCGAGTGTAATTGTGAACCACCAGGTGGTTATGTAGTTAGTTGTCGGGGTGGATCAGGGAGATGAGATGTTTTCTAACTGTAGTTTTGAAAGTGATGAATGTGTCTGCAGTTCTAGAGTTTTCAGGTAGGGTGTTCCAGATTTTAGGTCCTTTGAAATATATTTAATTTTTGTAAAGGTTTAGTCGGACATGGGGAATGTCAGATGTTTGTCTGGTGTTATGCCTGTGGATCCTGTCACAACTATCAAGAAAGTGTTTTAGGTCAAGGTTAACATTGGAATTTAAGTTCCTGAAGATATAGATTGCACAGTAAGTGTGGATGTTCTGAACAGGGCGTAAGTTTAGATCGATGAAGAGTGGGGGGGGGGGGGTGTTGCCAGGGATGGGATTTAGTGATTATTCTTACTGCAGCTTTTTGTTGGGTTATTATTGGCTTTAGGTGTGTTGCTGCAGTTGATCCCCAAGCACAGATAGCTTACCTGGAGTTTAGGTGAGGTATGGATATATAAGTGAATGGTATAGTGAGAGATGAAGGGAAGTTTACGGTACGTAGTACCCATACGAATCCTAAATACGTGGATATATAAATTATAGTATCCAGATGTCAAATTGAATAGGTTCTAGCGTTTAGTGTAGTGCATGGACACGGGGGGTCGTCCCACAGTTACTAAAAACAACACATAGCCCCACTCCACAAAGGGGACAGTAAAGCAACAGCAAAGAACTACAGACCGATAGCACTAACATCCCATATCATAAAATCTTTGAAAGGGTCCTAAGAAGCAAGATCACCACCCATCTAGAAACCCATCGGTTACACAACCCAGGGCAACATGGGTTTAGAACAGGTCGCTCCTGTCTGTCTCAACTATTGGATCACTACGACAAGGTCCTAGATGCACTAGAAGACAAAAAGAATGCAGATGTAATATATACAGATTTTGCAAAAGCCTTCGACAAGTGTGACCATGGCGTAATAGCGCACAAAATGCGTGCTAAAGGAATAACAGGAAAAGCCAGTCGATGTATCTATAACTTCCTCACTAACAGAACACAGTAGTCAACAGAGTAAAGTCCGAGGCAGCTACGGTGAAAAGCTCTGTTCCACAAGGCACAGTACTTTCTCTCATCTTGTTCCTCATCCTCGTATCTGACAGACAAGGATGTCAGCCACAGCACCGTGTCTTCCTTTGCAGATGATGCCCGAAACTGCACGACAGTGTCTTCCATTGCAGACACTGCAAGGCTCCAGGCGGACATCAACCAAATCTTTCAGTGGGCTGCAGAAAACAATATGAAGTTTAACGAAGAGAAATTTCAGTTACTCAGATATGGCAAACACGAGGAAATTAAATCTTCATCAGAGTACAAAAATTCTGGCCACAAAATAAAGCGAAACACAAACGTCAAAGACCTGGGAGTGATCATATCGGAGGATCTCTCCTTCAAGGACCATAACACTGTATCAATCGCATCTGCTAGAAAAATGACAGGATGGATGAGAACCTTCAAAACTAGGGATGCCAAGCCCATGACTCTTCAAGGTCACTTGTTCTATCTAGGCTGGAATATTGCTGCCCCGCTAACAGCACCTTTCAAGACAGATGAAATTGCTGACCTAGAAAATGTACAGAGAACCTTCACGGCGCGCATAACTGAGATAAAACACCTCAATTACTGGGAGCGCTTGAGGTTCCTGAACCTGTATTTCCTGGAACGCAGGAGGGAGAGATACATGATTATATTACACCTGGAAAATCCTAGAGGGACTAGTACCGAAACTTGCACACGAAAATCACTCACTACGAAAAGCAAAAGACTTGGCAGACGATGCAACACCCCCCCAATGAAAAGCAGGGGTGTCAGGGGCCCGAGACTGTTCAACTGCCTCCCAGCATACATAATGGGGATTACCAATAGACCCCTGGCAGTCTTCAAGCTGGCACTGGACAAGCACCTAAGTCAGTACCTGACCAGCCGGGATGTGGCTCGTACGTTGGTTTGCGTACAGCCAGCAGTAACAGCCTGGTTGATCAGGCTCTGATCCACCAGGAGGCATGGTCACAGACCGGGCCGCGGGGGCGTTGACCCCGTTGACCCTGGTAAACTCCAGGTACTCTGGCTATACTTTACCTTTTAGAGCAACCTTAAAATACTGCTGGAATCTTAATCTATGCAATACTAAGGACTTCTGCTTGTCTAAAATCTTGCCGAACTGTCTACAATTTGTAGACTAAATTCACAATTTTCATTCAGTTGGTTACTTTTCCTAGGCAACTTATGGTTAACTTGCCTCTTAGACCAGTAATCTAGTTGGGTGAGGTTCCCAGTTGAATTTTCTGCTAATCGCTTGAGACTGTTTCCTACAACTTTCATTTAACCATCCAAGAGTGTTAGTGCGTCATGGAGGACTTGCTTCCATTGTGGTCCTCAATCTTGTTCCCACGATGCGACCCACACCAGTCCACTAACCACTGAGTACCTATTTACTGCTAGGTGAACAGAACAGGTGTACGGATAAGCGGTGAAGTTTCAATCACGCCGGGAATCTAACCCGGGTCCTTTGTGTGTGAAGCGAGAGCTTTAGCCACCGGGGCTCCCCAGATCTAATATACTTGAGCACAAGAACTATAACAGTTAAGATTGTCCCATTTAAGCAGGATACCTTGTAAGGTTCAATAACCAGGTTAGTGGAAAAAGAATTAGACTACTAAAGTTAATATAAAAATGTAAAATTTTGGGAAGCTAGGCTCGTGCGGAAGCTTTTTTTATTACTAAAAATTCTTATTTCTGTATCTGCCTTAACTGGTAAAATGTTCTCTGCAGGTTGTAGTCTGGGTGTCTGCTCTGCCCAGCAAGCCTGGTATGTATGCAAACTTAACATTACTTTTTCCACTTTTTTCCACAACTGAAAATGGTTAGTTTTAGTTTAATAAATAACAAAAAGGCACAATACCGTGACTGGAACGATAAACAAATAACCCGCACATAAAAGACAGAAGCTTACGACGACGTTTCGGTCCGACTTGGACCATTGACAAAGTCACACTAACAGAGGAGGAGCAGAACGGCTATATATAGGCAGGAAGAGGTGGAGGTAGTAGTAGTGGTAGAAGTAGTAGTAGTAGTAGTAGTACAAGAATTGTATATAATACCGACAGGATGAAATGACACATGCACAACACCCGGGCACCCCCACCGTAGACGTTTCGCCATCCAGCCAGCCACTGGATGGCGAAACGTCCACAACAAAGACAACCAGACGCCGCACATGTGTCTAATTTCATCAGTAGATGTAGTAGAAGAAGAAGAGGTAGTAGTAGTGGTAGTGGTAGAAGTGGGAAATAAGGAAGACGAGCCAGTCAAATACAAAGGAAGGGGAGCACTGCAAGAGAGCTAGAAACCCACAGAGGGAGAGCAAGCGCACCGAGGTGCGTGAAAGGGGAAGTGGTGAAATAAAATAAAGAAGGGAAAAGAAACACGAGACAGGAGAGAGAAAGACAACCCAGAGGAGAAAAGGAGAGAGGAAAGGGGAAGAGGAAGAAGAAAAAATGAGGATTCAGGTTAAGTCACGGGTGTTCTGAAGTTTGGAGCATTTTACAATGTAGTGGGAGAGGAAGGCATCTACAGAGACGAAGCCAGGGCTAAGGTTCATACAAGGAAAGTTGTGTATAAGAGAGGATTCAACTAAACGGCGACTGTTCGAGTTGGAAGTAGGGAAGACAGTTTTAGCAGAAGACCAGTCAATAGGATGGCTATGATCTCTGACGTGACAGAAAAGAGCATTGTTAGTGTCGGCAAGCCTAACACTATTTTTGTGCTCCCTAAGTCTGTCAGAAAGAGATCGACCAGTTTCTCCAAAGTATTGAAGAGGGACAGGAGGAGCAAGAAATAGAGTAGACACCAGGAACATCTGTAGAGGGAGGAGAGGTATGAACGAGATTAGTGCGAAGAGTGTTAGTCTGGCGGAAGGTAAGCTTGATGTCTAAGGGACGGAGAGAATTGTTGAGATTAGAAAGACCGGAAATGTAGGGAAGGCAGAGGATAGAAGAGTTCCCATGAGTAGAGAGTTTGGGAGAGAAGAAATTGCGTTTAGCACGTGAGAGGGCAGAGTCTATGAAATGGGAAGGGTAGCCAAGACGGAGAACGAATTATAAAGAGTGGAAATTTTTGCTGGAAGGAACTGAGGATCACAGATGCGGAGGGCACGGAGAAAGAGGGAGATAAGAACACTTTTCTTGACAGGGGAGCATGATAGGAAAGTAGTGAATGTACATGCCACTGTGCATAGGTTTACGGTAAACGGAAAAGGAAAAACCTGTATCTGAGCGGTGGACATGGACATCAAGGAAAGGAAGTAAGGAATTAGATTCCCATTCAGCTTTAAACTTAATGGAAGGGGCAAGATTGTTAAGAGCTTCAAGAAAAGGTTGGAAGAGACTGGAGTCATGAGGCCACAGAGCAAAGATGTCATCCACATAGCGGAGCCAGAGTGAAGGTTGCACATCGAGGGTAGGAAGAAGAACAGTCTCGAAGTATTCCATGTAAAGATTAGCAAGGACAGGAGAGAGAGGAGAGCCCATAGCGACACCGAAGGTTTGGGAATAATATTTCCCTTGAAAGGAAAAGGAGTTAGAGTCCACACAGAGGCGGATCAGATCAAGAAAGACATCAGTGGGGATAGGGAGATGAAGAAACCCTTCATGGGCCTTCTCTCTAAGGAAATCAAGGACATCATCAAGAGGGACATTGGTGAAGAGGGACTCAACGTCAAGACTAAGCATCTTACAGGTTGGGAGAGAGCGAACCCGTTCAATGAAGTCTTGAGTGACGGAGGTGGGCAGGAGAAAAAGTACCAAGAAAGGGAGTGAGGGTTTTGGCCAGCCAAGAAGCAAGAGAATAAGAGACAGAACCTCTAGAGGATATGATAGGACGAAGAGGAATATCAGGTTTGAGTTTTGGGAAGGCCATAGAAATAGGGAAGAGAGGGACAGATGACACGACCTTGTTCAACGGTTTCGTGTCATCTGTCCCTCTCTTCCCTATTTCTATGGCCTTCCCAAAACTCATAAACCTGATATTCCTCTTCGTCCTATCATATCCTCTAGAGGTTCTGTCTCTTATTCTCTTGCTTCTTGGTGGCCAAAACCCTCACTCCCTTTCTTGGTACTTTTTCTCCTGCCCACCTCCGTCACTCTCAAGACTTCATTGAACGGGTTCGCTCTCTCCCAACCTGTAAGATGCTTAGTCTTGACGTTGAGTCCCTCTTCACCAATGTCCCTCTTGATGATGTCCTTGATTTCCTTAGAGAGAAGGCCCATGAAGGGTTTCTTCATCTCCCTATCCCCACTGATGTCTTTCTTGATCTGATCCGCCTCTGTGTGGACTCTAACTCCTTTTCCTTTCAAGGGAAATATTATTCCCAAACCTTCGGTGTCGCTATGGGCTCTCCTCTCTCTCCTGTCCTTGCTAATCTTTACATGGAATACTTCGACTGTTCTTCTTCCTACCCTCGATGTGCAACCTTCACTCTGGCTCCTCTATGTGGATGACATCTTTGCTCTGTGGCCTCATGACTCCAGTCTCTTCCAACCTTTTCTTGAAGCTCTTAACAATCTTGCCCCTTCCATTAAGTTTAAAGCTGAATGGGAATCTAATTCCTTACTTCCTTTCCTTGATGTCCATGTCCACCGCTCAGATACAGGTTTTTCCTTTTCCGTTTACCGTAAACCTATGCACAGTGGCATGTACATTCACTACTTTTCCTATCATGCTTCCCCTGTCAAGAAAAGTGTTCTTATCTCCCTCTTTCTCCGTGCCCTCCGCATCTGTGATCCTCAGTTCCTTCCAGCAGAAATTTCCACTCTTTAATTCGTTCTCCCGTCTTGGCTACCCTTCCCATTTCATAGACTCTGCCCTCACGTGCTAAACGCAATTTCTTCTTCCCAAACTCTCTACTCATGGGAACTCTTCTATCCTCTGCCTTCCTACATTTCCGGTCTTTTCTAATCTCAACAATTCTCTCCGTCCCTTAGACATCAAGCTTACCTTCCGCCAGACTAACACTCTTCGCACTAATCTCGTTCATACCTCTCCTCCCTCTACAGATGTTCCTGGTGTCTACTCTATTTCTTGCTCCTCCTGTCCTCTTCAATACTTTGGAGAAACTGGTCGATCTCTTTCTGACAGACTTAGGGAGCACAAAAATAGTGTTAGGCTTGCCGACACTAACAATGCTCTTTTCTGTCACGTCAGAGATCATAGCCATCCTATTGACTGGTCTTCTGCTAAAACTGTCTTCCCTACTTCCAACTCGAACAGTCGCCGTTTAGTTGAATCCTCTCTTATACACAACTTTCCTTGTATGAACCTTAGCCCTGGCTTTGTCTCTGTAGATGCCTTCCTCTCCCACTACATTGTAAAATGCTCCAAAACTTCAGAACACCCGTGACTTAACCTGAATCCTCATTTTTTCTTCTTCTTCTTCTTCTTTTTTTCTTCTTCCTCTTCCCCTTTCCTCTCTCCTTTTCTCCTCTGGGTTGTCTTTCTCTCTCCTGTCTCGTGTTTCTGTTCCTTCTTTATTTTATTTCACCACTTCCCCTTTCACGCACCTCGGTGCGCTTGCTCTCCCTCTGTGGGTTTCTAGCTCTCTTGCAGTGCTCCCCTTTGTATTTGACTGGCTCGTCTTCCTTATTTCCCACCCTTTTACCACTACCACTACTACTACCTCTTCTTCTTCTACTACATCTACTGATGAAATTAGACACATGTGCGGCGTCTGGTTGTCTTTGTTGTGGACGTTTCGCCATCCAGTGGCTGGCTGGATGGCGAAACGTCTACGGTGGGATTTCCCGGGTGTTGTGCATGTGTCATTTCATCCTGTCGGTATTATATACAATTCTTGTACTACTACTACTACTACTTCTACCACTACTACTACCTCCACCTCTTCCTGCCTATATATAGCCGTTCTGCTCCTCCTCTGTTAGTGTGACTTTGTCAATGGTCCAAGTCGGACCGAAACGTCGTCGTAAGCTTCTGTCTTTTATGTGCGGGTTATTTGTGTATTTTAGTTTAATGTTTATTATGCACCCCATACCCATCCTGTGGGCGGAGTTTACCTGGAGTTTTACCTGGAGCGGTAGTCAAAAGATTACAGAGGTACATAATTGGTCCAGGGACTGGACTCCAAAGTTTTGATAGCTGAGCAAGTTACAAAGGTAATGAACTCCAGGTAGGTCTAGTCACAATCATGACAAGTTACAAATGTATTTACAGATTACAGAGGTACGTAATGGGTCCAGGAACTGGGCCCCCAAAGTTTTGATAGCTGAACTAGGTACAAAGGTAATAAATCTGTAAGAATGGTTACTTACGTTTATACATGGCTACAATCATTAACAAATTTGTGAGTACTGAGCAATTCACACTTCCACACCCGGTCACAACTGTATTCAAATTCAGTTTATGCTCTAAAAGGATTACAATGCTGAGTTTACAGAAATTTGGTTGTGTGGTTTACATGTAGTAAAATAGTGATTAGTGTGTACCACTAGAACGCTTAGCATGGCTACACATTTCGGGCAGACTTAGTTTTATTCTTAATTGTAAAATATTACAAATTATGAGGTAAGTTGGTATTATGGCTAAGTGACTAAATACTAGTTTGTGAGTTTAGCAATGTGAATGCTTTTTTGGCACAGTACATAGTTTCAGTATCGAAGTATCACAGGATTCATTATTTTAATATTGAGATTTGTTTATGGTCAAATGAGTGAGTGTTATTGTGAACCACCAGGTGGTATTCGTGTAGTTAGTTGACGGGGTGTATCAGGGAGATGAGATGTTTTCTAATGGTAGTTTTGAAGGTGATGAATGTCTGCAGTTCTAGAGTTCTCAGGTAGGGTATTCCAGATTTTAGGGCCTTTGACATACATTGAATTTTTGTAAAGGTTTAGTCGGACACGGGGAATGTCAGATGTTTGTCTGGTGTTATGCCTGTGGGTTCTGTCACAACTATAAAGAAAGCGTTTTAGGTCAAGGTTAATATTGGAGTTTTAAGGTCCTGTAGATGTAGATTGCACAGTAGTAAGTGTGGATGTTCTGAACTGGGAGCAAGTTTAGGTCTATGAAGAGTGGGGAGGGGGGGGTGTTGCCAGGGATGGGATTTAGTGATTATTCTTACTGCAGCTTTTTGTTGGGTTATTATTGGCTTTAGGTGTGTTGCTGCAGTTGATCCCCAAGCACAAATAGCATAGGTGAGGTATGGATAAATGAGTGGTATACTGAGAAGGGCATTTTGCGGCACGTAGTATCGTATCTTGGAGAGGATCCCAACCGTTTTGGATACTTTTTTGGGTTGTATGCTGGATATGGGTGCTGAAATTCAGGTTGTCAAGGTATAAGCCTAGGAATTTGCCCCCATTATTTCTGGTAATTAGAGTAGCGAGTTATTGGTGCAAATATTGATTGACACACACACACACACACACACACACACACACACACACACACACACACACACACACACACACACACACACACACACAAATTCATACACACATACTCATACACACTCATACACACATACTCATACACACACACACTCATGCGCGCGCACACAGGAGCTTGGACTCGACCCCTGCAATCTCGACTAGGTGAGTGGTGTGCGCGCGCGCGCGCACTCGTACACACACACACACACAACACACACACACACACACACACACACACACACACACACACACACACAACACACACACACACACACACACACACACACACTCGTACATTTGTATTTCTACTGTATTAAGAATATTTGTTTTCAAGTGGAGAGTCATTAATGAAGATATATGGAGGTATTGTGCTTCAGGTTCTCCCCTCCCAAATTTCTGCACTAGTTTCATTGGAGTTTTAATTTGTGCTGTATAATCAAACATTTCATTTTATTCTCTAGCTGTGACCTGTCAGTTTCGTACACTTAAACTCGTGAGACCCTCGGTCATTTTCTCTAAAAGGTATTAAAGATTTGGCTAAATGTCTGCTGCAGGTGTGAAGGTAGTGGCAGACTTCTTCCAGGGCACCGGCGGCGTCCCTGGTTTCTTGGACCCACACAACTACAGGGACGAATGTGAAAGTCAACTGCTGACCTGCGTCTCTAAGGAAGATTGCCTCTCATACACACCCGGTAACTTACCTCTTTAAATTTAATTTATATTCTTGTCAAGTTTTGAAATTTTTAGTGTCCTGTTTCGCAGGTAACTACTTAGTGGTATAATTTTGTGCACTTTCAGGTAAAAACTTCGAGGGCCACCAGTGTCCCATTAACTTTATAGCTCATGAGGCTACTGCATTTTCCAATGTCGCAGTGAGAAGTAAGAGATCGTACACACGCTCAGGTCGAAGATTATTGCAATGGTCTTGGCACCAGATCATTCTACTTTCAAAGTTCTGAGGTAAGTAATCTATTGTCAAACTTTACACAAGGGTCGGCTATTAAAGCTTCACGCCTGGTCTTTAATTACTATACGTGGAGTGGACTCCATAAGGGCTCGTGTAAGTCTGCCTTCCACGCTCACATTTGTCCTGTGACCTTTAGTCAGTAGTCACTAGCGTTGGTGTCCCCCAGGGCGGCATTTTTGGCGTCACTCCATGATGCCAAAGGACAGCAATATTGGGGGGGGGGGGGGGACTGAACTTGTCACTAATGCATGACCAGTGACTATTTAGCAACGAGAACGTTTAAGGGCCATAAACTGAACAGGTTTATGGCCCTTAACCCTTACTGTCCAAAAAGATCTACGGTCACATGCGTAGTGCCAAAAAAAAAAAAAAAAAATTATCCCCTAAGTTTTTTTTTTTTTCAAATTGACCCCGAGTACGGGTAAGATCTCAATGAATCTGATCTTGCATTTTCTTTCTTTCAGTCCTGGAAGATTTATCATATAAAAATCGGATTTTTTCCCCTATTTATATTCTGTAATTATACCAGAACCTACATAGAAATGTTACTACAGCCCAGTTTTAGGCATTAGTCACCTTCACAAGACTAAATGACCCCCTTCCCCCTCAATTACGGCACCACGGCCTTTAATATCCTAACTTTCCTAAATTAGGACTAGGTCCCCCTTCACTCTCAGTTCTACTTAAGTAATTTAACTAAATCCTGGTACTCGTATAACCTTCTTGGTACATAATGGTAGTAAGGAAGTTTATTCAGGTATACACAAATAGTTACATAGAATTATCATACATAGCAGCATATGTGTAGAGAACCTGGGATAACCCAAAAAAGTCAGACAGTGACTTATTTCCATTGGTGATAATACCTGTGCAACCATGCTAAAATTTAGTTTAAAACGTAACTATTTAATGCCATGGTCTGTAAGGAACCACATTTTTTAATACCTAACACGTGATTTTTATACTTTTATGCAGAAAATTTTAGACCACGCCAATGAATTCACTTAAATCTGACCAAAAGATAATCATAGAATTTTGCAAATTCTTAAATAAAAAGTTTGTTTTACTGCCTTATCAGGCCTAATACTCAACCTAACTTGTCAAAATATCCAATATCATTTCTTCATTAGCCAGATAAGTTTTCATTTAGAAAATACCTTCGTGTTTACTTAACTAAATATCACGACCCAGGAATGGGAAGATTACTTGAAAGCCGTAACAAAGAATATCTTTGAGATGCCAACTCAAAAGATCCATTGGACTGATGCTTACTGGGATGACCAAGATCATCACTGGGAGTGGAGGACCACCAGGCAAGAAATACAATGGGAAAGGTGACTAAAAAATGTCCCTCTCGTTATTTTCCAAAATTTCCATTATACATTACCTTCATAAATTAAACTATAGATAAATACCTATACTTTTTCAAACGGGCCTTTCAATTCATCGATAAAATTAATATTACTACTCTAATAAAACCTACTAAGGATGTTTTATAACTAAAATTCCTGTATACAAGAGTTTACCTTAAAATGTTCCCTTTGGGAAATTAAAATAGTCTGTCATCTAAAATTAAAAATTAAGTTTTCCATTAAGTCTTCTTTTTTTTTTTACCTATTAGGATACTGAAAGGTACAAAATGCTACATGAACAACAGGAAGGTTCTAGATGAAGAGTCTGGTTGTCTGGGCTTCTCTTATGATGGAAGAAGTAAATGCTTGAAGCTACACCAGTTAGACTGCCAGCTAAGTTTACCTTTCCTGTGTAAAGCAGGTTAGTTTAAATTTACCTTAAGAGTTTTTGGGGGTCAATGCCCCCGCGGCTTTAAGACCAGGCCTCATGGTGGATCAGTCTGATCAACCAGGCTGTTACTGCTGGCCAGTATACAATAGTTTGGTATTTAAACTTTTCGCCTACATAGGTGTCAAATTCGGAACTGTTAAATTTTCAGTCCATGGACAGTAGAGGAAGTATTTGGCCCGGTGACTAGAGCTTTCTTCACACCCGGAGATCCCGGGTTCGATTCCCGGTGGGGTGGAAACATTTCAACGTGTTTCCTTGTACCTGGAGAGAGTTCCGGGGGTCAACGCCCCCGCGGCCCGGTCTGTGACCAGGCCTCCTGGTGGATCAGCGCCTGATCAACCAGGCTGTTACTGCTGGCTGCACGCAAACCAACGTACGAGCCACAGCCCGGCTGATCAGGAACTGACTTTAGGTGCTTGTCCAGTGCCAGCTTGAAGACTGCCAGGGGTCTGTTGGTAATCCCCCTTATGTGTGCTGGGAGGCAGTTGAACAGTCTCGGGCCCCTGACACTTATTGTATGGTCTCTTAACGTGCTAGTGACACCCCTGCTTTTCATTGGGGGGATGGTGCATCGTCTGCCAAGTCTTTTGCTTTCGTAGAGAGTGATTTTCGTGTGCAAGTTCGGTACTAGTACCTGTTGTCCTGTTCACCTAGCAGCAAGTAGGTACCTGGGTGTTAGTGGACTGGTGTGGGTGGCATCCTGGGGGGGGGGGGACAAGACTGAGGATAAAGCAAATAAGTCCTCAGTGACCGACTTTCTTGGGTGGCTAACTCTCCGGGGTTAAAAATCCGAAACTTCATGGTCTGAAACTATGAAGGTTAAGCATGAGAACCGACTCTTAATATGGAAAGTAACCTGGAATAAATAGTTTTTCACAACGTTCCAGACCATAAACCTGAGGGATTTTTTTTTTTTTTTTTTTTTTTATTCGCCGGTATTCTCCCGGCCCGGGTCTTTCCCAAGTAGTGGTGACCCGGCCTTGACTCCCTATCTGGGAGTGTCTCGAGACTGTCTTCCATGGGAGGACGTACAAGTACCCCCTTAACTGTGGGACCAAGTGTCCCCAGGCCTAGCTACAATCCCCGCCCTCACGGGGCTCGTAGGGAGAAGCTAGGCCTCTGGTCTGCCATCTGCCCCGCCCCAAAGGGGCTCGTGGGGATGGCAGTCTTATGAGCTGCAGAGGGACTTTATTATTATTATTATTAAAGATTCACCGGTATTCTCCCGGCCCGGACCTTTTCCAAGTGGTGGCCCGGCCTTGGCTCCCTCTTTACGGAGTGTCTGAGACCTAAGTCTCCCATGGGAGGAGGCACAAATACCTCCTCATCTTTGGGACCAACTGTCCCCAGGCCTAGCCACAAGCTAGGCCTCTCTGGTCTGCCATCCCCGCCCCAAGGGGGCTAATGGGAATGACAGTCTTGTGAGCTGCAAGCTCCGGGTCAGGCACCTACCCTGCCCTAGAAGGGCTGGGCATGGTGTCGATGCACAGAGGGACTGACCTCCACAAACACTACTCATCATGGACTGATGACGCCATGCACATCACTTGTGCATTTAAACAAACCTATTATGTAGCCGGAAAGTTTAAAAATAACTTTCACAAATATTTTGCAAAATTTTACTCCATTCTTACATAGCCATAAACAGATTTTTTCAGAAATTTACCAAATTTTTAATTTTCTTGCAGGAGAACACCAAAATAGATGTGGGGAGAACAAGGAGACTTCATGCTGCTTCTCTCCTACATTTAACTATTATGCCCGCAAATTAAATGGTAATTGTCCAATATAAATTCATTTAAGACTTAAGTTTGGTGTAATCAAAAAGTTTAATGACCAGACAGGCTATTAAAGATGTGGGTACTTATAATTTGGAAAAATAAAAATTCTGACTTGGTACTGCTAGTCTTTGGTATTAAACTCCCTTTCTGGAGTATACAAGAAATTAGTCATACAAGCTAAAACTCTGGGTAGTTTTAAAAATTGTTTGGATGAATACATGTGCGAGTTGGACCTGACTAGCTTGTGCTAATAGGTCTGATGCCATGCTCAGGTGAATGTGCCTTAACCTGGCTAGGTCAAGGCACCGGCTTCAGCCGGTGAGAGAACTGGACCTGCCTCGCATGGGTCAGTAGTCCTGCTGCACTAGTGCTAATGGAGTATTTTGATTAATTAAACTAAAGAACTAGTTTAGTTAAACCTTTTAATATTCAAACTAGCTAGTAAATTAGGGGCAGGAGACAGATTTCATCAGTGGTGGTACAAATATTGGTCACTTAAAAGCTTGTAATATTGCAGGTGGAGGCACTGGCACCATCCACAGTGCCAAGAGTGAGTGTTGGGTCCACTTACAAGCTCTCAACAGAATGATAGAATGTCGAAAAGGTCAGATTATCATTTATAAGTAAATAGCAACGCCAATATTTAGTAACTTGTATTAAAGTATCAAGTGGCTTCAATTTTACCTAAAATGATTGATTTACTTGAAGAAAATTTAAGTTAATGGGCTAGTGATGTCAAAATACTTAAATTGATCTAAAAACTTGAGTTTTGCCACTTCACAATTGAGCACTAATGGAACATTCACAAACTTTTCTCAAAATTCTTCCCACAAGCTTAATGTACTAGTGGAATTTTGAGTTTGGTAAATAACCAGTTTAAAACAGGGGGATTAATGGCTCTCATACCAGTAAAAAAAGTGGTTTGTCAAGACTTGATATCTTGTGATTAATTTTTTTTCCAAAATTTATTGTAATAAATTAGCATCGTGCGATGCCGGTAATTTTTCCTAAAACTTTAGACAATATTTAGTTTCTCTCAAAGAAAACCTAAAAATTCCATTCTAGTCTTTGCTATCCCTACACCACCATTTTTTCATAAATAATAGGTCATTTAGTCCCCCCCCCCCTATACATTATTATTTTTAATCTTAGCCACATTTTTATATTTCAGCCCTAGATGCCATTGGGAGTCTATGGCCTCTTCCCCAGCCTGTGAGGATAGATTCTTCCTTCTATTATTTCTCTGAAAACCGGTGTTTGGGTGAACGTAAAGCTGTCATAACCAGTCCTAAAGTACACAACTTTATAGTCCATTACTTAATGACCGAGGAAATACCTGTGGCTCACAAGCACTTTATTATTGGCCTTAACTACGACATCGACGATGACATCTTTGAGTGGGAAGATGGTAGGAATTTATCATTTTACAGCTTTTTGCCTAATGCAAACTGTCAAAAGCTTATTTGTAAACCTGCCAAGCTTACAAATATGATTTACATATAAAAATATCAAGGCCTCTAGCATGCCCAGACACTTTGGGCAGCTTGTTGTATGTATGGATTGTGTAATGTTGGGCATTGTTGTGCCTTTGTTCTATAATATATTACTTTCTACAGGCAAGATTGGTAACCACTACAATGGCACATACTGGGCACAAGGTCAACCAGACAAGCAAAGCTGGACTCTTACAGCTGTGTAGCTTATAGTAATGTCGCCCCCAACACTTACTCCTGGCACTTATTAAACTCTAAAACCTGCCTGGGAGACAATGTAGTAAAATATCTGGGGAAATGCCCATGTAAGTAAAATTAAATGCATAGCTGGCTTTAATATTTTTTAAATAATCGTCCTTGCCAATGGAAAAATTTTTTGGGTTATCACAGGTATCTTTAACACTGCTCAATTGTCCAAACTTTTTGACATGCACAGTATAATTTGACATTTAAAGATATCTAATGAAAAGATACAAATATACAAAAAATTTCCCCAAAAAATTGCTTTTAACATTAGTTAACAGTAGATATAAACCCATATGTGCCCCTGTTAACCTTCCGGAGCTAGTTCCTAGGCCTTGTGTATCCTATGATCTTGTGCTACCGTCCACAGGATAGATTTAAGGTGGACGATAAACTAGCCACTTTGTGGCAAAATTAATCGACACATACACTATGCTTTATAATCTTGCTATTTTGTAAATACCTCAGGCTTACCTTGTTCGGTAAATGCCTTCGTAACTTGCCACGATTGTGACAAATCTACCCCAAGTTCATTACCTTCATAACTTGCTCAGCTATCAAAACTTTGGAGTCCCGTCCCTGGACCCATTATGTACCTCTGTAATCTTTTGACTACCGCCCACCAGGATGGGTATGGGGTGCATAATAGATATTAAAACTAACTTTTTCTTTCAGCCGCACTAAAAACGTAGTTCCAAAGAGGAAGAAACTAGAGTGTGGACAGGATGGTCTCGTGGTTTTCCCGGCCCGGTCAGCTTTCATACCTCGCCAAGATGACATTAACGAAGCTCAGTATGGAGAGTTTCCATGGCATGTAAGTGTATTCAGGATTGTGACGTCCAAACTACCATAGCTGGAGTTGCTGTCACTTGGTAATTACCATCCCAGGATAACGTCCCAGTTGGATATTTGAAGTAGCAGAGAAAGGGTTAGTTATAGTTCAAATTCCAGAAAACTGGCACACAAACTTAGTGTTCAACTTTTCAGGAAAAATGCTAGCTTTTAAAGCTAATTATTTCAGTTAATACAAAAACCACTGAACTTTTCAGTCCTCTGCCCTTCCCTGACTTAATTGCTGTCAGCATTGACTAGTTACTACCAATAAACAAAGCAATTGGTACATAAATGCTACCTTAAAAATTAAAGGCCATTTTAATGCACTAAATTAAAAGTATACGTTTAATTTTTTTTTCCTGGTGCAGGCAGCAGTGTTGCAGCCCAGACACTACCAGGAAGGATTGGTACAGACTTTTGTCTGCTCTGGTGCACTAATCCACCCATACTTTGTCATCACTGCGGCCCACTGTGTTATTTTCAGCAGTGGGGACTTCACAGTGAGTCTTTATCTTTACCATTTAAACTTTAGCTTTCAGTTAACATTATTGCATTTCATCCATTGTCTATTGGCAGTGTAGTCGCTGAATTATATTGACTGCTTAAGTGGTTTAAAAGCTTTACAATAGGAAGCCCCCGAAACTCTCTCCAGGTAAACTCCAGGTAAGGTTTTGCCTGTTAGTGAAACTCCACATTACTTGGTACATCTTGAGGGTTTCGGGGGTCGACGCCCCCGCGGGACAGTCACTTGTTTCTTTGCAAGTAGTACAGATTACATTTTTGCAATAATGGGTTGATGTGCAGAGTCACTTGTTTGCACAGAAATGCTTAATGCCTCAAATGTAGTGGAAGTTTTAGCAGTAAAGGTCGAGAACCAAAACCTAGTCATTGTGGTAGTCTACAAGCCTCCGGATGCAACATCCCAGCAATTCCAGGAACAGCTGTTAAAAATTGACCACTGTCTGGAAAATCTTCCAGCTCCTGCACCCAACGTCTTGCTCCTGGGGGATTTCAACTTAAGGCACCTAAAATGGAGGAATATAGCAAATAATATTGTTGCAGTAATAACACCAGGAGGCAGCTCTGATGAAAACTCACACTCACACGAGCTTTTAAATCTCTGCACAAAATTCAATTTAAACCAGCAGATAGAGCCTACTAGAAAATCACTCGCTACGAAAGCAAAAGACTTGGCAGACGATGCACCATCCCCCCAATGAAAAGCAGGGGTGTCACTAGCACGTTAAGAGACCATACAATAAGTGTCAGGGGCCCGAGACTGTTCAACTGCCTCCCAGCACACATAAGGGGGATTACCAACAGACCCCTGGCAGTCTTCAAGCTGGCACTGGACAAGCACCTAAAGTCAGTTCCTGATCAGCCGGGCTGTGGCTCGTACGTTGGTTTGCGTGCAGCCAGCAGCAACAGCCTGGTTGATCAGGCGCTGATCCACCAGGAGGCCTGGTCACAGACCGGGCCGCGGGGGCGTTGACCCCCGAAACACTCTCCAGGTAACAGAGGTAGCAAGTGTGAAGACTTGCCCATATATCCCACCTCATAGTAGGATCAACCTCCAGGTAACAGACTGGAGAATACACTAGACCTCATCTTCACTAACAATGATGATCTGATAAGAAATGTCACCATATCAAAAACAATATACTCAGATCACAACATAATTGAGGTTCAGACATGTATGCGAGGAGCCCCAGACCTACAAAATGAGACTAGTCACGAGGGAGCATTCACCAAATTTCAACTTCAATAACAAAAACATAAAGTGGGACCAAGTAAACCAAGTCCTAACTGATATAAGCTGGGAAGATATACTAAGCAACACAGACCCCAACTTATGCCTAGAACAGATTAACTCGGTGGCACTCGATGTATACACAAGGCTTATTCCTCTAAGAAAAAGGAGTAGATGTAAAATAGAAAGAGACAGGCGCTCCCTTTACAGGCGACGGAAAAGAATAAGAGCGGCTAAAAGAGGTCAATATATCTGAAATGCGTAGGGAGACACTGGTCAGAAAATTAGAAAGCATCGAACTTAAGCTAAAAGAATCCTTTAGGAGTCAGGAATCGCGGGGAAGAACAAAAAGCCATAATGAAATCAAAAGAAACCCAAAGTATTTCTTTTATGCCAAATCAAAATCGAGAACAACGTCCAGTATTGGGCCCTTACTTAAACAAGATGGGTCCTACACAGATGACCACAAGGAAATGAGTGAGCTACTAAAGTCCCAATATGACTCGGTTTTTAGCAAGCGCTAACCAGGACTTCGAGTCAAAGATCAAAATGATTTTTTTGAGAGCCACAAAATTTGATTAACACAAGCCTATCCGATGTTATCCTGACGCCAAATGACTTAGAAAAGGCGATAAATGACATTCCATGCACTTCCCCCAGGGCCGACTGTGGAACTGTGTTTCATCAAGAACTGCAAGAAGCCCCTATCACGAGCCTTTTCCATCCTATGGAGAGGGAGCATGGACAGGGGGGTTTCCCTCAGTTACAAAAACAACAGACATACCCCCCACTCCACAAAGGGGCAGTAAAGCAACAGCAAAACTACAGACCAATAGAAACTAATTTCCCATATCATAAAAATCTTTGAAAGGGTCCTAAGAAGCAAGATCCCACCCATCTAGAAACCCATCAGTTACAAAACCCCAGGGCAACATGGGTTTAGAACAGGTCGCTCCTGTCTGTCTAAAATATTGGATCATACGACAAGGTCCTAAATGCACTAGAAGATAAAAAGAAAGCAGATGTAATATATACAGATTTGAAAAAAAGCCTTCGACAAGTGTGACCATGGCGTAATAGCGCACAAAATGCGTGCTAAAGGAATAACAGGAAAAGTCGGTCGATGGATCTATAATTTCCTCACTAAAAAGAACAGAGTAGTCGTCAACAGAGTAAAGTCCGAGGCAAACTACGGTTTAAAATCTGTTCCACAAAGGGCCCGTACTCGTCCCATCTTGTTCCTCATCCTCATATCCGACATAGACAAGGATGTCAGCCACAGCACCGTGTCTTCCTTTGCAGATGACGCCTGAATCTGCATGAGTGTCTTCCATTGCAGACACTGCAAGGCTCCAGGCGGACATCAACCAAATCTTTCAGTGGGCTGCAGAAAACAATATGAAGTTCACGATGAGAAATTTCAATTACTCAGATATGGTAAACATGAGGAAATTAAATCTTCATCAGAGTACAAAACAAATTCTGGCCACAAAATAGAGCGAAACACCAACGTAAAAGACCTGGGAGTGATCATGTCGGAGGATCTCGCCTTCAAGGACCATAACATTGTATCAATCGCATCTGCTAGAAAAATGACAGGATGGATAATGAGAACCTTCAAAACTACGGAGGCCAAGCCCATGATGACACTCTTCAGGTCACTTGTTCTATCTAGGCTGGAATATTGCTGCACACTAACAGCACCTTTCAAGGCAGGTGAAATTGCAGACCTAGAAAATGTACAGAGAACTTTCACGGCGCGCATAACGGAGATAAAACACCTCAATTATTGGGAGCGCTTGAGGTTCCTGAACCTGTATTCCCTGGAACGCAGGAGGGAGAGATGCATGATTATATACACCTGGAAAATCCTAGAGGGACTAGTACCGAACTTGCACACGAAAATCACTCGCTACGAAAGCAAAAGACTTGGCAGACGATGCACCATCCCCCCAATGAAAAGCAGGGGTGTCACTAGCACGTTAAGAGACCATACAATAAGTGTCAGGGGCCCGAGACTGTTCAACTGCCTCCCAGCACACATAAGGGGGATTACCAACAGACCCCTGGCAGTCTTCAAGCTGGCACTGGACAAGCACCTAAAGTCAGTTCCGGATCAGCCGGGCTGTGGCTCGTACGTTGGTTTGCGTGCAGCCAACAGCAACAGCCTGGTTGATCAGGCGCTGATCCACCAGGAGGCCTGGTCACAGACCGGGCCGCGGGGGCGTTGACCCCCGAAACTCTCTCCCGGTAAACTCCAGGTATATCTCGCCCGAACTTCCTCCTCCCTTAGTTTATACATTTTCACCTCCCTCTTACATGTTGCCACATTCCTCTTTTCCCCATCTACCTCTTACTCTAACTGTAGCTACAACTAAATGATCTGATATATCAGTTGCCCCTCTATAAACATGTACATCCTGGAGCCTACCCATCAACCTTTTATCCACCAATACATAATCTAACAAACTACTTTCATTACGTGCTACATCATACCTTGTATATTTATTTATCCTCTTTTTCATAAAATATATATTACTTGTTACCAAATTTCTTTCTACACATAGCTCAATTAAAGGCTCCCCATTTACATTTACCCCTGGCACCCCAAATTTACCCACTACTCCCTCCATAACATTTTTACCCACTTTAGCATTGAAATCCCCAACCACCATTAATGTCTGACTTTTTTGGGTTATCCTAGGTTCTCTACACATATGCTGCTATGTATGATAATTCTATGTAACTGTATTTGTGTATACCTGAATAAACTTGCTTACTCTCACACTTGATTCAAAACTCCCCACGCATTCACTCAACATTTCCCAAAATCTTCTCCTTTCACTTCTCTTTCCATTGCATACACGCTTATATAACCCAAATTTTTACATCCAATCTTTATTTTACTCCACTTAATCCTTTAATTTATACGTTTGTAGTCACTTTTCCTGCCATCGCTTATCCTTCAACATTATTGCTACTCCCTTTAGCTCTAACTCTTTGAAACCCCTGACCTAATCCATTTTTCCTCTCCATTGTACCTACCCCACTAAATTTGGGACACTTGTTGCTTTCAGGTATCGCTGGGCGATTTGGGACCTGACGGAGGGAAAGAATCATATCCTAGATACGCTCTAGTCACTGTCAGTGACGTTATTATTCATCCAGGTGAGCTCTTCAAAGTTCACGGGAAGAACAAAGCTTTAGCTTTCAGACTTTCTATGGAAAGCAATCCACTTCCTGTGAGGTTGAGGCACACAATGGGTCTAGGGACTTGGGTGCAAAGTTCTGATAGCTAGTATTTTAATTATTACTTAGGCACATACGTACTCGCACATTTAAACTTTGCTTTTTGTTGCAATAAAATACACATTTCTAAACTCTACATTTTAAAACTGCCTCAATACCTAAAATTAATTTTCCAACCAAAATGGCCGATTGCTACTATTGTAAACCTCTTCAAGGGGGGCTCCTTGGCGTGGTGAAGAGGCTCTTGGTCTGAGGAATTAGCCCTGTTGGTCTTCTTCCTCAGACCGAACCTAATTACCCCCCATTCTCCCCTCCCCTATCCCATCCTCCCCTTTTTCCATTCCTCCTCCTCCTCCTCCTCCTCACCCCTCCCTTTTGCCCTTCCTCTTTTTAGCCTTCGTGATTTCTCCCACAGGCGCGCTAGTTCCTAGGTAGGGGAAAGGGACACCGGGGGTCCAATCCCATTCCTTTTGAAGTTTCTTGGCAGTGGCGTAGTTTGCCGTGGAATCTGGATTGCCTAGGGATGTCCCGATCCCTCTCCGGTATCCCGGAGTAGCTTTGGGTGTCTTTTGGGCGACGGGTGTATCTCTGGAAGCCACCTTTCGGATTCCGGGGGTGGTGGCTAAAGGGGAGGTTTGCTTTGTGGGGGATATCCGGCCGCCCCTCTCTTTTTTTCCCCCGAGGTAGCTCGGCAGATGTGAGGTTGCTATCCAGATTGCTGGTTTACTGGCATGAAGGGTAGGGTATGGGCAGGGGTTTTCCTGCTGATCTGCGCCTAGCGGATGTCGGTCCTTTTGGGCGCGGGGGAGATTTCTGGCCCTTTCATTCCTCCTAGGAACTATCCTCCCCGGGTCCCCCCTTTTTTTTTTCTTTTTATTTTTTTTTCTTTTTTCTTTTTTTTTTTTTCTTAAAACAAAAAGAAGAAGTAACCTAACCATGGCAGCCCTAGTCCTTGAACCTGGTACCCCCGGGCCCCTTCTTGATACCGCACCCCCCGTTCTGACCCGCCTCGTCTTTGGACCACTCTTCAGACATTCCTCTTTGCCTCTGTACCTATTCCCGGTGCTGTTTCCTCCCCGCTTCAGGTACTGAGGCCTCGACGACTCCTTCGATTTATCAGACCTTCGCTCCCCTTTTGACTATGCTTCCGGCCTCTCCCTCTACAGTGCGGCAATTTTCAAATCGCCGACCCGTTCCACGTCGGACCAAAATTGGTCCCCCGCCTAAAAAGTCAACGACAATTACCTGCTGATGATACTTCTCCACCTTCACCTTCTCGTTCTTCTCAGAAAAGATCGAAACGTCATTCACTACCTTTCCACGCTCAGTTTCAGGGCTGAACAGTGGACTAAAATTTTTCACTTTACGACCAACTTCCTCTACTGCCTATCTTTCTGACCATAGTATTGGCAAGGCACTCCTAACGCCATGTTGGGAAAAGATTTTTCTTTTCATGCTCTTAAGAGTGGTACGCGCATCATTACCGTTACAGGAATGCTACCCAGGCTCGTGAGCTCTCTCGTCTTTCCCATTAGATACTGTTCCTGTCACCCTTGAAAAACATCATTTTCCCCCAATTCTTGTAGTGGTACCGTTATTTTGCCCCATACCATAGTTCCAAACAAAAATTTTTCCCGACATGTGGCACGGGGCATTCTAGAAAAAGCTGGAACTCCAAGATCTCCCAATCCTCAAGGTAGACACTTACGTTCTTCCTGGGCCCGTGGGCGGAGACGATACCCTAGCAATGTGGCTCGTTTAACTTTTGACAGCCGAGAACTTCCCATCCTCCCTTTTTATAGCAGGACATCGGTTACAAGTTCGAAGGTGATCCCTACACCACAACAGTGTAGAAATTGCTGGCGATTTGGCCATCCAGCGAAATTTGCAGATCTATCGCGAAGCCCAGTCTGTGGTGCCGATGCCCCTTCTAATACGTCTTGCAATCGATCTCCCTCTTGCCTTAACTGTCATGAGGCTCGCCCTTCGTTTCTCGCCCTTGTCAGATCTATTTAAACGAGCGGGAAATCCGGTTACTCAAAGAGACAGAAGGTCTCCCCTTTTGCCATGGCAGTTTCTCATCTCCGCCTCCAAGGGAGACTCCCACGTGTTTCTTATTCCCCTGTTTCAAAAGTCCCCCCACTTCTGGTATTCCCCTCTTCTACACCCACCTCTGTGGTTACCTCTCCCCTTTAAACACTCCTGTATCTAATCCTTTTGCTGGGCCTCGGCTCAGACGTCCCTACTTCAACCCTCAGTCTAATCTCGCTTCTTCGAGTTTCTCTTACAAGCCTCAGTATCGCGAGACCTCGTTACGACACCCCTTCCCAATCGTTTCCCCCTTTCTCAAAAGTCAAAAAAAGGTCCGGTAACACCTCCTACCCTTCTTCCACCCTCATTTTACCCTCCCTGTCTCTGTTTTTCCCCCGTTCTTCCCCTCTCACTGGCTCAGTTACAAGTGCAGAGGTTCACCCTCCTCGTAAATGTAAACCCTTTCCCCCCCTGTTCCCTCCCAAGTTTCTTCCTCTTCTGCCACCTCCCAGGTTCCTGTCTCTTCTGTCCCCTGCCACGCTTCTTTCCCGTTCCTCCACCCTTTCGCCCCCCCCCCCCACCTTGGTACAGTCCAATACAGTTCCAATCTTTACTCATCCTCCCCCTACCATTCCCAATATTGTCTCCCATACGGGCATCTCTGAATTCCGAAACACTTGAAGCAATCTCTGAATATATTGCAGAGACCAAACCATTTAATGGACACTGATCCACCTTCCGCTCTTTCTTTTCCTCTGCTCCATCTGCGCAACTCCTTTTTCACAGCGCACCGTTTTCCTTCGCTGCTTGAAAAATTTTCCACTGCCTTTCCCCAAAGTGGACTTTTTAACCTTCTAGTCCCTAGGAACCCCTTTCCTGCGGATTTCAAGTATCTTTATCATTTCCAATCATGGCCTTTTTACAGTGGAATATACGCGGCCTCAGGGGTAATCGGGGTGAGCTTCAGATGTTACTCTCCCAGTTTTTCCCCTGTTGGTGTTTGCTTACAGGAACCAAAATTACACTTGTGTTATTTCTCACATCTCAGGCTATAATTTTTTTTGTATTCTTCAGACCCTTTTTTCCTGATGGGACCTTTAATGAAAGTGCCCTTCTTCTCCGCATGATATTCCGTACCATCAGCTATTTATTCATACTTCGCTGCATTACACAGCAGCCCGTATCCACTTACATGGGTGGTATACGCTCTGTTCTTTTATCTCTCTCCTTCTCGGGCATTATCTTTTTCCGGATTTTGCCTTCCTTGTTTCGTCTTTAAAACCGCCACCGATTCTGTTCCCTTGGTGATTTTAATGCCCCCCTTTTTTCCCTTTCTGGGGAGGGTCTCACTGTGTTTTCCCGTGGAATTCAGTTAGAGGCTTTTCTTGCCACCCCCCCCCTCCATGTTTTAAAATACAGGTACTCGCACCCATTTTGATCCTCGGACTCGTACTCTCTCTTGCATCGATCTCTCAGTTTGCTCTTCCTCCGCCGCATTAGACTTTACTTGGTCTTTTCTCCCGGACTTACACGAGTGATCATTTCCAATCATTCTTACTTCCCTTCATATTCGCCACCTTTTTCGCACCCCACGCTGGCAATTTAATCGGGCCCAAAATTTGGAACCTTTACTCACACCTGACTGTTTTTAAAGAGGTTCCTTCTTCGTCCTCCATCGATGAGCTTTTAACCTCTTCTCGTTTCCCCCGTTTTCACCGCGCTTTTTCATTCTATTTCCCCAAAACTTCGGGCAGGCATTCTCAGAAATGCGTGCCTTGGTGGTCTCCTGCTTGTGCTCGTGCAGTACGTTTTGAAACACGCTGCATGGGGCAGGTACCGGTAAATAGAACCACAGAGGCGACCCCTTTGATTTAAACAAAAGGGCGTGCGATCGCTCGCCATTTTCATCCGTGACGCATAAACGCACTTGCTGGCGAGATTGTCTCCACCATCCCCTCTGCTTCCTCTATGAGTGCAGTCTGGAAAAAAGTACAAAAAACTGAGTGGTAAATATTCTCCTGACCCGGCTCCTGTTCTGCGGGTTGCCGTGTGTGATATAGAAAAACCCACTAATGTTGCCAATGAAATTGGCAATCATCTGGTCTGTATTTCTCAGGGACTCCATCTATGCCCCTCATTTCTTTCCTCAAAGTCTGCCAGAGAGTTGCACCCTTGGACTTTTCTTCTCTCAGAGAAGAACGTATAATGTCCCCTTTTTACACTTCAAGAACTGGAGGCAACACTCTCAGCTTTTTCGATCATCGGCAGCGGGGCCCGAGGGACATTCATTTTCGTATGCTACAACATTTACATCAGTCGGGCCCTTGCAGTCCTATTACGCCTTTTACAATCTTATTTGGTCACAAGGAGTTCTTCCACAGCTGTGGAAATCCGCCATTGTTCTCCTTTCCGCAAACCAGGCACTACGGGACATAAAAAACCCCCACTATCGTCCCATTGCTCTTACCAGTGCAGTTTGCAAAGTAATGGAACATCTAGTAAATAGAAGTTTAGTGTGGTATTTAGAGACACACAACAGTCTCTCCCACTCGTCATATGGCTTTCGTAAGGGACGTTCTACCATAGACCCCTTACTGCGCTTGGATACGTATGTTCGTAATGCCTTTGCGAATAACCACTCGGTTATTGCCATATTTTTTGACCTTGAGAAGGCATATGACACAACTTGGAGGTATAATATTTAGCCCAAGCCCACTCCTTAGGCCTTCGAGGCAATCTACCATCCTTCCTTTAAAGAACTTTTTAAACTAAACAGGCATTTCCGTGTTGGGTTAATAATGTGCCTCCCCGGACTTTGCCAAGCTGAAGGTGTCCCCCAGGGGTGTGTTCTGAGCACAACACTTTTTCTCCTTGCTATTAATGATTTGGC